TATATATATATGTATATACATATAAGAAAATTTATCATAAAATTGCATTACATAGAAAAATCATACGTATAGCAAATAAACTATCAACAAATATAGATCACAACATTAATTAATAATTAATATATTTTAAGCGGCAACATATAGCCTTTTAAAATAAATAATAAAATATATAATAAGTTATTGATTATGTTAACCAATGTTGAAAGTGTGTGGTAACGAATATGAGAGAGATCGAGTTTCTGATAATTATTATAAAATTGCATTCCATAATTCATATTACAAAATTTTAATGATTCAAAACATTTAAATTGATTTTTTAGAAAACACTATGTTTTTTAGTTGTGTTGTTGCTGTTATATAATAGCAAATAAACAATAATTAGCATCTCCAAAAGTGTTTTTTTTTTAGATATAGATTTCTTTTCAGTGATATACATCGCACTTGGCAAATTAAATTAATTTTACATTTATTTTTAAGCAATTAACTTTATATTTAATAATGCATATACTTTTATATTTTTATGTACTGGCTCATACATACATATTTTTACCTTTATATAAGATAAAATATCTCTCTCTCTTTCTTATATTTTTTATAAAACAAAATATTTTTGTCTAATGCACATAATTTCGTCGACAGGTGGTTCTTTCATCCCGCAGATAAAATTACGACAGCCATATAGTGAAAGTGATGACACGAGTAGTATTTTGCAGAGACCGCATATAAAGATAAGGGAGTACAATATCTATATAAAGCTGAAATGGTGATGTTTATAACTATTCACTCTTACCTTTTCGTAAGAGCACATAACGCAAGTCTTCTAACTATATCGTAACGGAAAATCAACTTTAGCATCTTGTGGCAATCATCTCCTATACACGGAAAGAATTTCGTCTATAGGTAATTTTTTAAATATAATATTTATTAAATTAAGTATTAATATTAGATATATATACACAAAATATTATTATTATATGTACATTCATATACATATATCATATAAAAATAAATTCAATAATTATTTGAAATACATTTATAAATTAAGTTTATTAAATTACTGATAGAGATTTACATTTACAATGTTTGTATGAACAATTTTCTTGTTGTTTAATGCGCTTTGTTCATTGATGCACAAGTTTTAGTTACCATCAGAAAAAATGTTTTAATTAGTCTCTCAGCTCCACATCGACTACTTCTTTCATATATTTCAATCAGGAAAATCAACGATCTTTTAAAATATCTTTGAGTGGGTTAAAGATTGTTATGCATTCATTCCTTCAAATTACTGTTTGCTTTATTCAAGAATGTCTTAAGAAGTCATTGATTTGTCGTTGACCAAAAAAAGTGATGTTACAGACTATCGAAAAACTATTTTCTCTTTAAGAGACTATAAGCTTTTTTAACAATATAAATTAAATGCTATAAAACATGTTATAAAACAAAGCAATTGTATTAGAAAATAATAAGGTGATAATAAGGTGATAAAATTGGGGGGAAGACGCCACACTTAAGTCTTTATTCTTGAATAACTTCTTAATGTTATTGAATTAAGTTACGAAAAAATATTATTAATATTCTAGAGACCTTTTTTATTTACACAAATTTATAAATTTAACGTTTAATATTCCATATTATTGGAAAAAATTGATATATCATATCTTGCAAAAGTGACATCTTTTCTCTATATGTGTGGATAAGATGCCATCTTTTATGGGAGAAGATGTTACAAACAATTAAATAATGCGATGCAATATAAACTTGCGTATTTTACTTATTTACAATCCATAATGAAGAATTTAAGCTATAAAAACACATAAAGGTATGATAAAACATAAATTGAGAAAATATGAAAGAGAATAATTTAGGAAGTAAATTGGACGTACTTTTATTCGTTTAAACAGCATTTCATTAACTTAAAATATTTCGATTATATAAAACATTCAAAATTTTAATTCATAAAATCATTTTAATGACGGTTTCAAGCAGGAAAAATTGTATTTTGTATTTACCACTGTCATCTTATCCCCAAATGTAAGAGGAATATTCAATTGCAATTTTTACGCATATAAGAATATTACAAATTATAATCTATATCATCCACATAACCGCTAGGGAACACTGATTGAAACCATATATTATTTGCCCGGTTTTACAGCAAGCATCGAAGTACAGACCTAAGCTATTAACATACCAAATATTACAAAGAGCATGTTTCACGATCTACCTTTTCGTATTTCGTATAATCTTTTCCAATCGACATTGGCATGAACATGTTCATCTAAGCCGATACCTGTGCAACTGTTTGCCACACGTTTTTGCACAATCAGTATGATCAACGCGCGTTCTATAAAAAAATTATAAATAAAGTGGCGTCTTTCCCCTTATAGCATCTTCCCTCGAATTACTTTATAAATGGATATTTTCATTGATGCTTCAATAAATTTTATAACATGCTCGTTTTGTGCGTGTGCGTATGCAGGCATATGTATATTTAAATAAAGAAAATTAGAAATTTTATTTCCCGTTTTCTATGTGGGATGAAGATAAATTGTTTATTTATTTTCACAATAGCAAAATCATTTTATTTGCATAATAAAATAATATTTTTTTGTAAGACTATTTTGGATGGTTTCTGCACGAATGACTTTGACGCTACAGCTAGGTACAAAAGAAAAAATGATTATTAGAAATCTTTCACGTGCTTCATGACATTTATCGAGGATTAGATTTTACGAAACGCACGAAAAAAAAGAAACATGTTTAGGCTCTACCATTTCCGAATAAATAAAATGCACAAATCTAAAAATAACGAGGTTTTAACCTTTTATATATGCATCAAGAGTTATGTCATTATTGCTTCTATTAATACAATAATGATTAATGATCTTCGAAATTGATGCTACGTACATCCTATTTATGTTCCTAAATAAGGAATTCGTACCCAAGCAGAACAACAAGATATCAAAATGATGTAAAAATGACTCTAAAATGATCATTAAATATCATTTTTCAATCATTTCTGATTCATTTTAATGTCATTTTGACATTATCGTGACTTATTGTTCAGCTTGGGTAATGACGAATTAATATTACAGCATTTAAAAAGTGAAAGTTCATTCACAATTTATCAATGTTAAGTAACACAATCTAGAAATACAAGAACATACAAAGAGTTGTGCAATGCACAGTGCGTAAATTCTCTAGTAAAACCTTTGGCTTAGTACTTAATTAATTTTAGATGAGAGAAATAATCTTCGAATGAATGATGAAGATATTCTCCATAATATGTTTCCTAATACGGATTCCTAACATGGATTGAGTATATTTAATATGTTTAACTATACATCATTCGATCAATGTTCGTCTAGTCGGCTTTTAGCCTGGCTTTTACCTTTCACCTTACTTAAGCATAGTCCCGCTGTTGGGGTCTTTTGTGATTTCTTGATATTTTATCCTATTGATGCGATAAAGCATGTGGGTGTGCAGCAATCGAAAGTGAGGTTACAATCGATCACACAGTTTCGGTTTCAACGGATTAGTGACAAAATTAGTGATAAAATTGAAGTGCGAGAATACCCAATGATTTTCTACAAGTATAATATTCGATTAACGAAGAATGATCATAAGATTTTAACTAGTGATGTTTTTTTACTTATAGATACTGAAAGATTCGTTAAACGGATGAATAATGTAAGATGTTTATGTATTTTATGATACTGCAAAAGAGTAATAATTATTTATCAATAGTACACTCCCACAATTATCGTATTCCAGTAATTATTTTAATGCAATAATTGATTTATAAATTGATGTATAAAAATCGAAATTAAAGTTTATTTATTAAGTAACCTCAAATATATTAATTAAATTAAATAAGTTAAATGTATTTTTAAAAAAGTATTTCTTTATATTTTTATATATATATATATATGTGATAAATAAATTTTTTGTTTCACACGGAATTATAGAGAAGTGCGAATAAGTATTCAAACGATATTCGTATTAAAATAAAGTTTGATGATCCCGTAAATCTTAATCACCATGAAAGAATTTTTAAGAAAGAAAACAGTAACTGTATGACCAAAAATTCAAAATTAAGTTCTCGTATTTATAAATTACTAGATACTCTTGGATTATGAGATACATCAGAGAGTACAATTTAACAGTATATAATCTATTCTAAAATGAAGTATTATTACAAAAATTATATGGAAGAGAAAGCAAACGGTAGAGGAAACAAAACCAGTTCCAAACAAAAAATATTTTTACGATTAATTAAGAATAAGCGTTATTACTCACAAAATTTTCAACTAAAAACTTATCCAAATAATTGCGCGTAGTTTCTTTTTTTACTTTATTATCACGATTAATTTTGCGAAATTTTGGGCAATTACTTAATCAGCTACAACTTGCTACACTAAGGATGCGTTCCGAGTTACGCATGAAGCGCACGATGTATCGTTATATCCTTCTTTATTAATTGATAAACAACAAGGACAAATGATGCATCATGCGCTTCATGCGTAACTCGGAACGCACCCTAATTCTCACAGTTATGGTGCATTCATTATCTATATATCAAAATAATCTTTATCGTTATTTTCTTATGATCGAATTTTATTTGTGTGTGTGTGTATGTGTGTGTGTGTACATACGCGATTCGAAATTTTATTAACAATTATAATTACATGTTAAATATTTATGATTTATCGAGAATGCTGTTTTCGAAATTTGCAATGAAATCGATTGTATTAAAATAATCACTCTTTATACATCTCACGTGTTCCAAAAGCTTAGAAGGAATATCTATCGCGTCTAAAAACGTGTACCTAGTAGCTGTATATAATGTCAATAATGTGTAAATAGGAATCTCTATAACTGTCAACCATCATACTCATAGAATCAGTATATACCATTCAAAATGCGAAGAGATGTTGAAAGAGAAATTAACGCTTGCATATTCTCCTTTCTTTTCTTACCACAAGTCATCTCATCTACACGATGACATCAAATGACGAAAGCTGCAATTATATAGCCATAAATATCGAATATGGTCCTTGATAACGATTTTCTTTCGATGAGGAAATCGACTTATGAGCGATCTGTGGCCCATTATCATTAAATATATTTTAATCTTCTCACAATCAGCTGCTTTGATGACACTTGATCATCACAACATCGAATATGGTTTTGCTCGAGACAATTATTTCCAATGTTAGGAACTAACGTTTTACTTATAACTTTGTTACTGTTATTATTACTTTTTTTTAGTAACATTTAAGCATTACTTTTTCTTATCTGATAATGGTAATATTGTTACATTTTTATAGTAACGGTAACAAATTCAATCGTTACTTGCATCGTTACTTTTAGTTCCTTGTTATCTTCATATCTATTCAATAAATCGCATTATTTTTTATTGGATAGAAATATATTACATTACCTTAAACTTAAGAAGCGCCACTAACGGTCTGAAAGAAATATATTATTTAAATAAAAAAGTATTGAAACATATTTTATATTTTAGACTGCATTCCGATAATCACTGCCAATATTAAAAATCGTTAGTACATACGTATATGCAGGGTTGACAAGTGTAACGGGTTTATACGTATATATATATATATATATATACTTGTAACGCCGTTATTTTGTTGATCGCTACCTTGTTATAACAACGATTTGGTAATGGCATTGTGAATGTTTTTATGATGGTAACGCTAACATCAGAGTTAGAAAAGTCAATCGTTACTTGTAATGGATTGCAAAAGTCATTCGTTACTGAAAAAAATAATTCCTAATTTGTAACGCGTTGCTTTTTAATAACGAGTAACATTACGCGTTACTCGTTATACTTATAACTTTTTCAGTAACACATAATAGTGACAAGTTACTTTTCAAAGTGACTTTTCTAATTTTAGTACAACCTTAGCGTTTAGTAAGTTAGCGTTACCGTCATAAAAAA